AAGTGATTACCTCGCCACATGAGACTCAAGCTTCATACAGAACATCTCTCTACGCAGAATTCAAGCCTAAAAAATACGGATGTCAGTTGTTTCTGTGACAGGAAGAAGCTTGGTTGTTACAAACTTGTACATCTTGACCTTGCTTCATAAATTTTCCTAAAAGATGGGATAAAAGTGGAACTGCTTATGTCGTGCCAGTGTCCCGTTTGTCACGGTACGCGCGCCGCATCGTGTGACTGATAATAACTGTTGGATTGCATCCAACTGTCAAGTTCGGCTGACGGACCGACAGCCAAGCTGCACACCCAAGCCGCCAATATCCCGCCAAATCGCAAATGACAATATTGCTTTATATCACCTTAAAAATGGCTCCGGTGCATTTTTGGTGACTCTGGGACGTCTTACGAATAATCCTAGGACAACCTAGCGAGATTTCCTGTGAGTGAAAAAGGTACAGTATGTTAAAACTCCACCAAATTCCTTTGTTTCGTCGGGTTGCGTGACATGTGAGAGCGACGACCTGAAATTGATCACGACAATATGACCTGTAATGATTACGTCAAATCTGCAACTGTCAAAAGGAATTAAGCATGGTCCACAGAGAGCAACATACTTCACTGCTGTGTATTGATGGCTGGCCTCAGGATAGTTTTGTACTGTATCTTGGGGGTAATTCAAACTAATTAATGTTGTTAGCAAAATACAGTAATTTGCAAATTACACTGGTATTATTGGTGGACTCAAATGAGCCTCTTGTTCAAGATAGTGTTCATATGAATGTGCTGCGCAGACAGAGTCGTATGTTACAGCTGGCATGACAGTGCAGATATCACTGTATATTTTCTCGACAGAACACACCACATTTAAACGAGCGTAAGCAAGTATACTTCAACAAACTCGAACAATTTGGTGTTTATGAAGAATATCAGGTTGACGAGGACTCGGGAACTACGTCTATCTGATAAGCCCCAAGAATTGCAGTCATTACCACCGGGAAAAATAACCGATGTTGTTTACGCGCGATAAAAGCCCCGTTGAATTTTTTCAGGGGCATGCAATAACGTGTTCCCATCGGCCCCGTTCACCTCCATCTGTAATCTAAATATTAATTAGTGAAACGCCCACATAATCCCCTCGACGGTACATGTATGTGAAGGGAGGCATATTGAAGCAGTGTGGACAAACCTGCATTAGTCTAGTCAGGCATCACCTTGCTATCGTTTGGAATGCTCTGACAACCACCAGTGGTATAGGTGAATATACATCGCCTAGACAGTAGAATAAAGAATGAAGTTTTTCTATGAGTACACATGCGGCGAGATGGACCAAGTGGTTAGAGCGCAAATTTGCTGATCGAAAGGTCCGTGGTTCGAACCCGACGTCTGCCTCTCGACTTCCCCCGTCTAGGCTTGAGCAACCTAGCAGTATCCCAGCCCTTGTGCTTTCTGTGAGTGGCATGGCAGCTAGGCACCAAAAGGGTGCTACAGCTGAACGATTACGAGTACACATTTCTACAGGATGGTAGAGGACAGACAGTTTTAGGAGGAATTTTTTAATAATTTTTCAGTTTTTTTTAAACTTCAACTGGATTTTCCGATCAAACATGTGACAGTCTTGGATCAAACGTTTTACCGTCACTACAGTCCAGTGTTTACTTGATTGCGTGCTCCTTGAATGCTTGTAGAAAGTAGAACTAAGCAACAGCATGTCATTTTACCGTTGTCAGTTTTGCGAAAAGATCTGTGTTCTATTATTTGAAACAAAACAAAGTGAGCATACAGCCCTATCTTGGGATGCATATGAGGTAACCTAAATTTGCTTCAACTAGGCACTGGAGAAAGGCAAACTGGATCCTTTACTCAAGATGTTATCCACAGTCTGATACAGATGGCGTGTTTCAAAAGCATTTTGCTCCATCGAAACATAAAACGCATGCATCGTACACCTGAATGCGGATGGAGCGAGAGGGCGAGTCCAAACGATAGTAAGGACATGCCATTTCTGACCGGTACCTCAAATAGCAGTAGACAATACTGAAAATCGGTGGGCTCGTCCGAAATCCGCAAACTGATTAGGCGCCGAACCCAAGACGACTGTATACCTAGTCAGCGTAAACGACACGCACAGGAAATCGACCAAAAAGACAGGCTGAGGATGCAATACACCATTTTTGAATCAGCGCCGTTGGGCACTGCACTTTCCTGTGAGTCACAGCCCAATATTTGTCCCAGACATCAGTAATTGGAGATGAACAGTCCCAATTTATGGACTTTTTGACAATCCGGTGTGCAACAAATAAGACGGAGGGATCGTTTCAGAAGAGACGAAGAAATGATTGTGACGTTAGGCACTTGCCTCATCAGGTGCCAATAAAGTGTGTGATTAAAGGATCTTCGAAGACTGGCCAGGATAGGTCACGAGGGCAAAGTCAAACCCCCAACCCCTCCCCTAGAAAACAGAAAAATGAATGTAAGGTACACTTCTACCCACCACCAGGTGTCGAGTTGTAACACCACCTAGAAGGTTCACCTTTCTGAGGCGACCAGCCCCACTGTATGGTCACCACAGGGCTGTTTTGTTGTAGGAATATGAATGCTTCTTCTAAAAAGCAGACTGGATGGTTGAAGCTCCTTGGATTACCTTCCCATTGCAGTCCATCGCCAATACTCAATACTTCAAAAGCGTGTTTCCGCGTGTCTACCAGCAGCTATCAACCGAAATACCACTTCCTCTCACTTTGTGTGCCCGGTAAAGTATTTCAAGCGATCTGCTGCTGAAACTATTTATCAGAAGAACGTGTGACTTTGAAACAATGTCCATCCTCTGAGTGCATAAAACACACCTTTAATTTACACTCATAGCGAACAAAACATAGTCGCCACGAACGGACTGTAGATGTTTACTGTAATGGACACGCCCCAACTGACCTAAATAATGTGGATGAAATGAAGTTGTATCAGCTTCAAAAAGTTGAAATCTGATTTCCTTTAGGTTGAGGTAGCGAAGAACTAAAAAACTATGTTGGCTAATATCATGTGGCAGAAAAACAAAACAATATTAGACTGATACTCTTTCGTCTGAAGCCACTCTTACAGTGCAAGTCGTGAAGTTTTTCGCAGCTTAGGATCTTACTCCATAGTTGAAGTATTCCGAGCCAGATGTACGGGATAACGCGTCCAATCGCTACACAGCAAGAGTGTATGATGATTACAGAAACCGCTGAGGACTAGCATACCCCGGTACGCTATCCCTATTTTGGTAAGTCGTGAGTTGATTATCACTCTCCATAAAAATCGTCTCCTGTCTTGAATGTTGTGACTTCATCTCGCTATTTTCTTACTAACTTCGGTGTTCCCTTTAATTGCTAACCAGTACAATAGTTGCACGGTTTATAACTCACTACCAAGCACACACTTCATAAGTGATTTTCTAATATAAAAGATAGTGAGAAGTATCCATGAGTGTCAGTCGTCCATGACTAGCTTTAACATAGGACCAAACGTCGTATAAACATGATGGGATATGAATGGTCATTACCTCGAAGGCCTATGGAATGCCTTCGCATGACAACTGTACACCGAAACTGAACAGGACATCGGACCAGCGGTTCATTTGGGCTATCGATCGCACGCACCTGCGTTCGTAAGTGCCGTTCACTCCAAAACGCAAGAGGAAAATCCGTGGAAAGCCGTTCCGTGAGTTACCGATTAGGAATCAATGACTTTGATAATTTATTAATGGTCCAGTCAGCTGTAACACCCTTTCGGTGCCTAGCTGCCATGCCACGCGAAGGAAGCACGAGGACTGGGAGACTGCCAGGTTGCCCAAGCCTAGGCAGGGGAAGTCGAGAGGCGGGTTCGGGCTCGAACCACAGACCTTCCGGCTGGTAAATTCGCGCTCTAACCACTTGAGCAATCTCGCCCTTATTAATGGTCAGTCCCGAGCTGCTCGAGAGAGCTCATTGGTTAAGGAGCGAACTTACTGACAGGTCAGTGGTTCGAACCCAACCTCGGGATCCTGTTTAGTCTTGGATAACTTGGCAGTACATCGGTCCTTTGCAGCTAGGCACCAAGAAGGTTGCACAACTGACCTATTTCTATTTCTATCTTGATAACAAGATTCCACATAGAAGTTACACTTCACACAAAACTTCCGGAACGAAAATCCAGATCATGAGAAGGCAAAGGTGATGTTACATTACTGTTTGGCAAACAGAGCATCAACCTATATACAACACCAGGAGCTGAAAACCCTGTCCAAACGACAACCGACCAGTCATAAAGCAAACTGCGATGTTGACGACGCTGAATGAAATCAAGTAACGAATAACAATGTACGAAGGAGCCCACATTCTGAGTAGAGCAAAGATACAAAGAACAAACGAGACCAGACAGTAATTACATAAAGATACTTCCAAAGTACGTGATTTAGCTCACTTCCGCTCAAGTATGGACAGCAAATCATATCGAATCGTCCAACTATAACACACTTTCGGTGCCTAATTGCCATGCCACCCGAAAGAAACACGAAGGTTGGGATACTACCACGGTGCCAAAGACTAGACAGTGGAGGGCGAAATTCAGAGGTCGGGTTCGGACCACGGACCATCCGTAGTTAGATTCTCTGTTCACAGCCTATTCTCGCCCGAAGACGACGTCCGAAAGGCACAATGACTTTTTACCACCACAAGTGGCACATTCTCCTATATGCTAAGATCTTGTTATCTGTATTTTCAATACCATTGTTCTCCTCCAAATGGTACTATTTGGTTTGATTATCAATAGTAAATGGTAAGAAACAGACCTTGTGGATGAAAATACGGGTATGCTTGCTACGACCCACCAAGACGTTTCCCTCTTTTCTCCCATATTCTCCTGTTACTCTTTCGCATTCATCGCTTGCATTCACTTTTTATGTTTGTGACCATGCTCTTCAAAAATAAATGATAACATAACAGGAAAGATGGTAATGCATTGTTGAGCAGAAATATATCCACTCACCCCGCCACCGGCATCACAGATCTGCAAATGCACGAGTCGATTGTCCACGCAAACTTCCACTAGATCACAGTCAGAGATGCATAGAATGAGAGAGCAAGCGGGTGAGGAATAGGTCAATTTGTCAGCCGATGAAATTTTTAGCTCAAAGGCTCATAGCAAATTACAAGTTCCAGACGACCCACATTTGCATAACATAGTCGTAAATATTCCTTAGATCTACCTGAAATACGACAGAGTAAGCTGAAATAAACAACGAAACTCGTAATCCCAAAGGATTGTTAAACACAAAACGCAGGGCATTCGTGTTCTACTGAGCACAGGAAAGCTCAATGGATGCAATATGTTCCTGGTAAAGTTGTTCAGTAGCTGCTTCCTTTGCGACACAGCAAGGAATAGAAGTCACTAGTTAATAAAGCGCTATCGATTTTAGCCTTGGATCCTGCACTCGGCCTGGACAGCCCAAGAAACCATTAAACTCTTATAGTCTCACCGATAAAGGCAGCAACACTAGCGTCCAGACTGGTGCTTCAGTGCCATATACCCACAGGAAGTGGGTCACCGAGTGGCGATGTGAGAAGTGAGGATGGATACTCGTGAATGTACAAATAGGTAATAAGAACGGCCGTTTGGAGCATTGGTTGTTAACTAAGTAATTCAGCAATGAGCAAGGGGCATTGGAGGAAATAGCGCAGGGACGTATTATTGAGAACGTGATCAGCCGATAAGCCATGGATGAGATCCTCTACCATGGTGCATATCCAACAAGCACAAAATTGGGTAGGGTTGCCGTTTGCACAAACAGCATGCATAAAAATCGGATATAATCATTTAGATGGCTGATGGATATAGCAACAGGATAAGGACTTCGTCATGTATCCACCATATAGAGCACAGCGCCCCCACAGGAAAAAAGACTTCAAGTTGTACACAAAGGTGAAGCGCATCGCGCATGTGCAATGAGATTTATAAAACAGGTTCGGATATCGGTAGCTGCTTTGTTTGTTTGCAGTAACAATATTGTACAGGGAACCAAGATCTCAGGCGACACTTCATTTGAATAATGGGAAAGCATCTAAAAGGCCTAGCACCTACGAATGTCAGTGAACACCGAACTACTTCAACTCAGATTCACTTCCAGTTCCCAGCGAAACGAAGCCTCCTACAACACCCAAGTTGATTACTGAGAAACCTGTAACAGTCTAGTTGCATGATCCATCCTGGAGGCGATGTGGTCAATCCGGCGATTAATCATTTCTAAACATACTCTGACCGATGACAGCCATTAGATACTTGTGGTATATCACGGGAAACCGACGGCGCAAGAGTCCACCATACTCTGACAGTCCCATAACTGGCTTCGTCACCACTGAGAGGAGCTCAGTGTACTATCTGCAACCTGGACTCTCCTCAGGGTGTGTCAGGGTACGAGATAATTTCAACAGAGTCCCAGAAAGGAAGGTTACGATGGTCTTGAAGTTCGGTGTGTACATTTGCAACTCTCAAGTGTTTGTAGATCTAGGTGCATCACAGTCGTTGGAAGTCTGCTTTGCTAGTTACTCCCAGAATTTTTTAAGGACGATAAATCGTAAACATCAAACTTCTGTTTAGGCACCACGTAGGAGAATTGTGATCAGGACATCTCCAATGAAGATAGTGACACAAACTCAGGTTTAGCTGCAAAAACTTCTCGAGATGGTAACGAGTAGCATTATCCATCATTCAAGCCAACACCGACTCATATATACCGTGCTTTTGAAGCGGATAGACGAAAAACCAAGATAAGTGCGCAATGCAGATAAGTGAATACCGTCATGATTGCAGCAGCTGAGAGGTCTGATGTGTATACATCCTGTGAAAGGTTTGGAAATAATACAAATAACAAAAATACTAGTGCATCTGGGGTGTTGGGAATATAAAAACTCACCGAAAAAGGTGTCAAAAGCCGATGGAGTATGCTTTGATGGATAATCGTTAGTCGTATAACTCACGACAAGACTAGTTTTTCCGACTCCACTGTCTCCCAGTAAAACACACTTTATGTTAACCGGCTGCTTAGATAGATGGTCCGCCTCCAATCCATTGCATGGAACAATATACGGAACTCTGCGTGGTTCTTCCGACATCATCCACGGCCTTCACCTCCAGTCATCTTGCAAGCAAAGCGTAAATCTTAGTGAGCAAATGCATTCTTGAAATGAGATGAATCAGCGAATTTGAAACACTGAGACGATTGAGAAACTGCTAAAATGGGGGAAAGATAGCATTCAGAATTCGCTGAACAGAGGGCGCATTTGAACCTCTTCACTACAAATTTGTTCTGTTCGATTGAATAAATCCTCGGGTGCAAATGCGACACCCTCTTACACTGGAGGACAAAATGATCAGAGCCGCATGGATGTGGGAGGGTGTGTTCGAGAACAGTACATAAGTAAGTTAACGGTGAAAGGGAAGACAGAAGTGAGCAAAAGGCTTTTCAGTGAGTTTTACCCGCTTAACTCTGGTAACTCTGATCTACCATAGAGTGAGGGGGAATAAATCACTAAACTAAGTATATTGTCCCTTAGTGACCTAGGGGACAAAGGTTGCACAAAGGTTGCGGTTACTGCAGTTTCGTTCACGGATGACCTGGGAACTGGAAGTAGATGACTACGCCCTGAAGAGAGTGGCTAATACCGCGGGCAGACGAAGCTAGGGGATCAAAAGGCTTTCATTGGTTACGGATACCAGGAGGAAGTTAAGCGTCGAAAGTAAAGCTAGGATAGCTCGAGATGACTCAGCGGTTAACGCTCCAGCTTGCAGACCGGAAGGTCTGTGGTTCAAACACAACCTCAGCATCTCGACTGCTCCTGTCTAGGCTTGGATAGCCAGACAGTATCTCAGCCTTCATGCCTCCTTCCGTTGGTATGGAAGCTAGGCACCGAAAGGGTGCTACAGCTGGAAGATTTTCGATTTTTGGTTTGTATGATAAACACCAACCACTGAGCACGCGACCGAGTCCACCGGTGTGATCCGCATTCAGGCCCCAACCCGAAAAGCCGCCAGGCGCCGACGATGTTGAGTTTGTCGGCGGCAAGTTATATACTTTGTTGCAAGGTCGAAGCTTGAACCCTTCTGGTTTGATTCCAACTTCCGCAAAGTTGTGCGAAAAGGAACCTACTGGCATACTGAGCTTGTACCGCGCAACTAATGAATCGTTATCAGCCCGTCCACCATGTTTGAGTTACACCCACCGGAGGCCATTCGGTGTAATCCAACATTTCTGGTGCGATGTTTCGACCGGGCTCGGGTAACGACCACAAACACCAGCAGTCAAACAATCTTCCAATATCTTCGACTGGGCCAGTTTTTTATCTATTTAATAATGTGCAATATACCGCTCCATTTTAAACTCGATCTTTCACAGACAAAGTGACGCCTTAGGCTGCTTTAGCTTTTCCCATTTGGGAAGAGAGAGCCTTGAGCTAGACCACCGGGAATCACACAGCTATCCAGGTAAATAAATTTTTTACCACCTCGGTCAGTTTAACAGTAAACATGAGATCCCAGTTGGATCCTGCCCAGTCCTGTAGGAGCAGTTTATGGTGCTGGACAGATTGGAGAAACTGCGACTCCAGGTGTCAAACATTGAAAGGATATCTTCTGATCATACAAAGCTGAAACATAAAGGTGGAAGACACCACTGGAAGTATTGAACTCAGGCAAAAGTTCATAATACACTCTCGCGCGTCCGCACGATGATTCAGAGGGTATGGGTGGTTCATGAGGGACAACTCTATTCAAGACATACTGTTGTGGACTGATGGTTAGCAAAGTTAAAGGCAACAACCAATTCACCGTAGACGACCATTGTTGGTTGTCGATAGCGGTACGATTGTTCAAGAACCCGTTGCACGATGATGTGACCTACGCAACCCCCTGAAGGGGGGATGTCAGCTCTAGATTCAAGGATGTCCCTCCTTATGCATGATTAAGTTGTGGAGAGTAAGATCAGGAAGCACCTTGGATGTCACAGGTCATCGCATAGTGTCCGCGTGCTATTTTTAAAAGCTGCTACTTTTCGTCCACTCCACACAACTAGTCGTCCGAGCTTCTTCGCCCTCTTTGAGGGTTAGGTAAAAAACGTCAGAACGTGGCATCCTTTCGTGCTTTGAAAGGGACATTTTATGCCTCATTTCTTCAGGCGGACAATAAACATTTACCTTCTATCGAACTGTCGGTAGAAACTGTTTCAGGCCAGCTAAAGTGATCTTTAAAGTGACGGGCGACTATGCGAAAGCATGACACACCATCCATTTCACTCACGGTTTTGTAGACAGTCACCTCCCTCTGGCAGAGAATCAAGTGGTAGTGTACGACTGCTTCGGGTAATAAAGGCTGCCGCCAGTCTGTAAACCTTCGCGGTCACCCCCCAGCTCTCCCAAATTCCTCGTTATTTCGTGTTTGAGGGACATGGATGTACCATCCTACTCATCGTGTCCTTATGGTACCAAACAGGATTGCTAGCCTGGGGAATATCCAGTGATTTACTGATCCTATGAAGGCATTTAGGCATACCGCTATGAAAGCTATAAGCAAATCTCACTTTGCATGCTGTCATAAGACCAACGCACTCGTCCCCTGTAGTATGTCACTTCACTTCAAAGAGTTCCTCATCTAGCTCAATGGTTAAGGTACCAAATTACGGACCGGAAGGTCCGTGACTCGAACTCGACCTCAGCATCTCGACTGCATTTAAGGCTGGTATTTACCAACACAACCGTTCTTGAGAGAAAGGAACATCGACGCATCAATAAATACAAAAATGTGGTTGCGAGGGGAGAAGCCTTACTCTCGCCATCACAAGGAACACGGCGCCTCGTTATATGATTATTCACAGCACTGACGGTTGGTTCTTCATGTCTAGGCGTTAGCCTTCGACTTTTTTAGAGAGAACGTTCCGGTCGGTATAGACAGAAGGATTTTGGCGACACATACTTCTCGTAACCATGTCAGAGGCAGCTCTTGGTCGGATGCTTTGAATACAGTAGAGCGTTCTTGCATTTTGCCATGACTGGAGAGAACACAGCTACATCAGTAACACACACTCCAGCTGCATATGCCCAACGATCTGCAGGAAGCTTTGCATAAGTGATAAACCCGTCTTCGTCCTGAGGTCAAATAGGAGACTAGATTATCGACGTTTGAGTTGATTGCCAGCCATAAGCCTGCTGAATGGTTTGATTTCGGATATTACCAGCCATTGGGAACACAACTAAAGCGCTACTCAAAGACAGAACTTATTTCTGCGGGACAATCCAAGCGACCTTACCAAGACATTGAATCTCTGATAGGACAGTGGATTGGCTGGAGACTTGGGGACAGATAACTCCCGACCGCGACCAACAGCGGTGAAACTGAATGTCTGTGCAGGCCAAGAATCTCCATGGACCCAAAAGACCGAAGAAACGGAAAACGCGAAAAATCCTGGGAACTCCCACAAGCTGTTCCGCTTGATTCCTTCGGCTGGCCCATGGAAGTATCTATTAGAGATGAAAATGACTCACCGATATCCAGCAAGGGAGAACGATTGGACTGCTGGGCATAGTATTTTGAACAATTCAGTTGGCCACTCACTAAATAAAATCCGGAATCCCGGCCTTTCACAGAAAGGTTGTACGCCAGTGAAGATCGGCGTTGAACACTGATCTCATGCTGTCGATACGTATACGTAACAGAAAGGTGGAGTGTGAAAATGGAGCCTCTCACTTCGAAAGGGGCTCCATTTTCACATTTTCAAACTGAGAAGTTGTCGAGTGTGTATATCTACTCGAGCGTCATCGTGTTCCTGTTCCTGATGACTTTCCATCTGCTACGTTCAAGGACTGCATTGAATTTCTCAGCCAGTGCTTGTCTAGCCTATTTGGGTCTATCTGGGAGGAACACAACCGGAGTGAATCGAAAAAGGTTGCTCGCAGTGAAGGTGGTAACCGCAGATCATCATCATCATCATCACCATTGTCAGCTGTAAGAACCGCGCACTGGTCGTACACTGGTTGTAGCTGCCACAGTTTCGTTCACCGATGATTGGGGAGTAGGTAGCTGCGTATTGCACGCGCGAGCTGGTAAATTGGTGCATAAATCCAGCACTGTCAGTGAGTTGTCAAGCGGCGGGTGGAAAAGGAGCTATGCATTGAAGGCAATAGCTTGGATGCACGAGCACCACTGAGGGCGCGACTGGGCCATGTCTGATAATGTCTCTAGCCATTGATGTGGCCCGTCTCGGGGTCCCCATCCAGGAAGACGGCAGTGACCAGCGCAGCTAAGTTTGCTGGTAATGGCCTTCATACTTCGCTGCCAAGTCATTGTTTGACCGCCTCTGGCTCTCTTCCACCCTTCACATGGTTGGGCGAAAAGAGCCCTTCGAGGAAGTCGGTCGACTGGCATACGCAGCACGTGGCTAAGCCAACGCAACCTATGCAGTGTGATCAGTTCATCTATCGAGGGTGAGTTATTTCTCCCGCGGAAACAAGACATTTGACCTCTTCATCATCCTATGGCGACGCGTCATCCCTTGACCCGTGAGCATCAAGCGGGTTTGGATCAGGTAGAGGATTCCTCGACCACACCTTCAAACTCCGTTAGGTGTTGGAACAGGCACCTTGACTTCAACGGTGTGCTCGATCCTGCAAATCGACCAGCGCTACCAAAAACATTAAACCAAAAAAGATGTCCGAGAAGTGTGTAAACGTAATCCGGAGCCAACATTCACACACTTCTGAGCGCGTGCAAACGTACAGTGGACTCCCCAAGTTTCTCTAGAGAGTAATGTCCATCACCTTCATTATCACCATCTACAGTATGACATAGGTGTTCAACACTGATGATTCGCTGCCGTAAAACCATGATTAATTTGAAAACCTTACTGTGAAGAAGAGAATAAAAGTAGACGGGAAAGGGACTCATTCCTAAGTGTCTACACCCCCACACGCTCATTCAGGCAATCTGGGTAAAAACTGACAAGAACATCATTGACATCAATTTACAGCCATATCTTACGGCGTCAACCAGGCACGCGATCCCCATCCTGGAATGCGAGTAGATCCGACAGCACTCAGACTTATCGTAATCTCCTTCATACTCCTTTGCCAAGTCAAGGGTTGGCTATCTCTCTGCCTCTGACACTGAATTGGGCACGGAAAACAGCACTCTCCTCGGCAAACGATGGTTCAGCATACGCAATACATGGCCTAAACAACGCACATTCC